ATATAGAAGTCTGTGATACTACCTATCTCCAATTAACCAGCAAAAAGCCAGAAAAGGAGCTGTGGTAGAGTGATATCCTTGAGAGAAAAAAAAAGCCAAGTGAGAACAAAAAGCCCAGAGTTCAAGCCCAGTACTGGCACAAAAAGACAGTCCTTTCTTTCCCAACTGCAGCGCTAACTCAGGTACTTAGGCAGGTACTCAGTTCCCAGAGAAAACAAGTAACCAATTCCATGTAGAATATTCCAGACCATCTTATGTAGCCCCATAAAGTTAAATGCTGGGATTATTCAAATGTGTTCTAAAATTGCTCCAGCTATAAGCACATTGATGGAATCAGTGATTTAGAAAGCCAGAGATTCATTACCTGACGTATGAAATGGCAATCCGTCTGTATAACACCTTAATGATTACAAAAATATATTAAAAAATGAAAGATTCATCTTGTCCTCCCAGGCCTTTTTTTAATAACGAATCACAACTTTCACCACACGAGAAAGAGCTTGAGAATACAATACGGTTGCAGGGAGCCAAGCAGTAGGTTATCTCACACCAGGCAGCAGAAAGTCTAGCTCTTCCTGGATTCCAGACAATCATACTAGTCTTAGAGGACTTAATAATCAGAGTATTATTGATTGAGTAACCAAATATCCATGTCAATCATAATCACTGAACCCAAGAGGCTGAGCATTTTCAAATCCAAACTGTTTAGAAAAGTTTGGAACTTAGAGCAATGTGCATTTCAGATTTTTAGATTAAGGCTTCAGTCTGTAAAATCTGCTAACATTTTTAAATATGAAAGCATTAAAATCTAAAACACTCTTGATCGCAAATATCTTGAATAAGGGATATTTGACCTATACTAAAAATTCCTAACTCAATGAAATTTAGGTATGGAACCAATAACTTGTCTTCCACCACCACCATTATCACCTTGCCATACACCCGGTTTCCCTGCCCCACTTCCAATATCACAAGAACAAGGAAGAGAAAACTTGATTTGGGAATAACTTAGAATTTTTATTTTTATTCATTATTCCTTTTTGCCAGTCCTGGGGTTTGAACTCAAGAGCCTGGGCTCTATCCCTGAGCTTATTTCACTCAAGACTAGCACTCTTAACCATTTGAGCCACAATGCCCTTCCAGCTTTTTCTGTTTATGTGGTATTAAGGAACCAACACAGGGCTTCATGCATGCTAAGGCAAGCACTTTACCAACTAAACCATTTTCCCAGCCCTACAATTAATTTTTAATCTAAAAAATACGAATTAAATATTTTAAAAAACAGAACAATCATATAATATTAAAATAATCAGCCAAGAGATTCAAACAGGAGATCAAAAACAATCCTATTACAAGAATTATTAGGCTGGGTGCTGGTGGATCACACCTGTAATCCGAGCTGCTCAGAAGGCTCAGATATGAGGATCTAGATTCAAAGCCAGTCTGGGCAAGAAAGTCTGTGAGACTTATCTCCAATTAATCACAGAAAAAGCCAGAAGTTGTGCTCTGGCTCAAGTGATAGAGCACTGGCTTTGAGCAAAAAGAGTCCAAGAACAGTACCCAGGCCCAGAGTTCAAGCCCCACAACTGGCAAAAATATATACATATGTATATATATTATGTATGTATATGTAAAATATATATATATACATATGGACATATTATGTATATATGTGCATGTAAAATACATATATATATATATGAACTTCCTAGCATTACAACTGATTGACTTGGCACTCTCCCCTTAAAGAACAAAATTGCATTTAATAAAGGAAAAATGAGAGCTGAATGACTTTAGTTGAGAGATTATCAATATATACTAATTATTGCTCAGATTAAAATACTATTGTACTCTGGACTCTAAAATGTCCTGAACTTTACCCAGAAAGTGGAAATTTGGAACTAAAATTGAAATTGCACTCAGAGAGCGCAAGGGAAAAGGTGACAATGTCCAAAAAGAAATAATGTACTTTAGGGGCTGGAAAGGTAGCTTGGTGGTAGAGTGCTTGCCTCACATTCATGAGGCCCTGGGTTCAATTCCTCAGCACCACATAAACTAGAAAAGGTCGGAAGTGGCACTGTTGCTCAAGTAGTAGAGTGCTAGCTTTGAGCTGAAGAACTCAGGGACAGCGCCCAGGCCCAGAGTTCAAGCGCCATGACCAACAACAACAAAAAAAGTTCTTTATCTGACTTATTGAATAATAATAAAATTATACTGAAAACAAAAAAACTAGTCACCAGATTAAAATATTCCTCAATTTTTTTAAGTTTCGATACTCAACTGAAATATATTTACATAACAATTTTATTAGCTATAAACCAAAACAAAAAACACCTTGCCACTGTGCACTGGTGACTCATGCCTGTAAATCAGTTACTCAGGAGGCTGAAATCTGAAGATCACGGTTCAAAGCCAGCCCAGGTTAGAAAAGTCAGTGAGATTCTCATCTCCAAATGACTACCAGAAAATGAGAAGTGGTGCTGTGGCTTAAAGTGGTAGAATACTAGCCTTGAGCAAAAGAGCTCAGGGATGTGCTCAGGCTACAAGCCCAGGACTCAAGTTTTAACCTCATAACCAACCAAAACAAAAACAAACAACAACAACAAAAAAAACTTGCTAATCAGCAGTAAACACAAATGCTAGCAGTGGTTGATTTTAAAGGAGAAAGGGACCTGAAGGAGTGATTCCATTGATAGAGTGATAGAGCACTAGTCTGTGAGTGAAAGCATCAGGGATTGAGTTTGAATCCTGTCTCAGACCAACAATAAAATAAAATAAAAAGGAAGGGAGGGCTAAGGTAGAAGGCAAGGATTTTAAAGTAAATAGAATCATCATAAACAACTTGTTAAAACTGTGTGAACTGTGCTGGGAAAGAGTGCTTGCCTAGCATGCATGAAGCCCTGGGTTCAATTCCTCAGTACCGCATAAACAGAAAAAGCAGGAAGTGGCAGGGCTCTGGTCGTTCAGGCCTATAATCCTAACTACTCAGAAGGCTCAGATCTGAGGATCCAGGTTCAAAGCCAGCCCAGGCAGGAAAGACCTTGAGACTCTGATCTCCAATAAAACGATCAGAAAACTGGAAGTGATGCTGTGGCTCAAGTGGCAGAGCACTCGCCTTGAGCTGAAGAGCTGAGGTACAGCACCCAGGCCCAGAGTTCAAGCCCCAGGACTGACAAAAAAAAAAAAAGAAAGAAAGAAATCTAAGCCAGGCTCTAATTCTAGCTACTCAAGAGGCCAAGATCTGACCATCATAATTCAAAGCCAGTAGGAGCAGAAAGTCCATAAAGTCTTATCTGCAACAAACTACTCAGAAAAAGCAGGAAGTGGTGCTGTGTCTCAAGTTGTACAATACTACAATTCAGGGACAGCACTCAGGCCCTGAGTTCAAGCCCCAGAACTGGGGGTGGGGAGGTGGGGGTGGAATCTACTTAAAACAAAAAATCTAGGACTGGGCAGGTGGCTCAGTGGTAGAATGCTCCCCTGGCATGCATGGGCCCTGGGTTCGATTCCTCAGCACCACATAAGCAGAAAAAGCCGGAAGTGGCTCTGTGGCTCAAGTGGTAGATTGCTAGCCTACAGCTGAGGAGCTGAGGGACAGTGCCCAGGCCCAGAGTTCAGGCCCCACAACCGACCAAAAAACAAAAACAAAATCTAACCAAGATTTCATGATCTTAAAACAACAACAAACAACAAAAAACCTTAGTGGAGGGAAAAACTAGGAGAGCAAGGGAAGGGATGATATTGTCCAAAAAGAAATGTACTCTTTACCTGACTTATGTAACTATAAACCCCTGTACATCGACTTTACAGTAACAATTTTTTTAATCCTATTGAACAAAACCAATAAGTGAATACTACAAGAAGTAAAAATTACTCAAAAGAATTTCAGCTTTTTACATTAACCAACAATTCTGAAAATGCATTAATTTTATGTTGTCAAGATTTCTTACATACTGTCTTAGGATGGTGGCAAATAACACATAACTCAGAAATGCTTAAGCCAAGTTAACATTTTGACGGGTTTGAAAGAATAAAACAAGCAGACAGAGCACAGCAAATGATAGCTAAGAGCCAAAGGGCTGTTTCCTGGATAGAGCTGGCCTTGGATTGGCTGGACAGAAATTTTGAGATATATTCTTGTAAGACAAAATCATGCCCCAAAAAACAACTACTTATGCGTTTATTATTTACACATTCTAAAAATGTACTTTTAACCTTTGAACAACCAAAGTGATAACAGATACCTTACAGCTCACATTATTTTGGATGTTAGTCTAAACCCTTAATAAATTCACATTACCCATTTTAGAAAAGAAAAAAAAACATTCCCAAAACAGAAAAGCTTATACTCTCTAAGTAAAGAATACCTTACTCTTTCACTCGTTTAAAGTTTCAGTTTTGCTGTTTAATCTACTACAGAACACATCTCTTGTCGGACACCGCAAAAGGCAGACCCTCCTGTCAAGCTAAAAGGCTCAAACACAAAGACTAACCTAACCAAGTGCTGTAATTCTTCCAAACTGAGCCTCTCCACACCCCCTCCACCCTTCCCCCCCAACAGATATGTCTATTAAATCAGTGTCTGTTCTCCCCCTCGCACAACAAAGAGAACTTCTCACCGCATGAAATTGCCGCTGAATGGACACCAGAAAGCAAGATTTGCATAATTCCTTCCAACGAAACCCCATCAGGAAAGAGGGGAAGAGGGGCCCAAGCGACCCTAGAGAGAATCTCCCAGATCCCGGTGGGGAAGAAGACATGGTTCCCCAGACTATTCTTCAGGGGGACGAGGGGTGGGCTGGAATTCTGGACCTCCCCGAGGACTGGGCGTGGGGGGGGACCGAGGACGACAGGAGGGCATTTCCTCACACACCAGCAGCCAGCAGCCGCCGAGCAAAGACGAGGAAATAACAATGCTGAGGACAGGAGAGTCAGACACAGGGATGGACCGGAGCTAGGGGGCGGCGGGCAGAGCAGGGACACCCACACGGGCCACTTACTTTTTGGAGGGGGGTCAGATATATTAGTTAAGCCCTTAGGGTCCCGTCGGCCGCCGCACAGAGAGAAACGGGACCTTGGGAGAGAAAAACAGACAAAACACACAGTGTGAGAGGCGCAGCCCGGCCGCCCGGCCCCTCCCGGGCGTCCCCGTCCACACTCCCTCCGGCCACCGGCGAACGCGCCGCCCCGTGGCCACCCGGGTCCGGGAGGCGCCGCCGCCGACCAATCCCGGAGGGAAACCGGGGCGACCCCCCGCCCAGCCCCACGGGCGCACTCGATCTCCCCCACGCCTCCCCGCCGCGGGAACACCGAACACAAATCCGCACACACCGACCCGTGCGTCCAGGACTAACTCCCCGGCCGCCGCCGCCGCCCCCCGCGGCCATGACACCCCACTTGGCTCGGTCAGGAGGACGCGGGGCCTGTGACAGCTCCGGCTCCCTCCGCCCCCATCTCCACCTCACGCCTCGCACACGCCCG